AATGATGATATGGGATCACCCTATCTGAGTCCTTTGGCAGCTTCAAAAGGTTTGGTCAACTCCCCATCTATCACGATTGAATAGCTCACTGTTGATACACAAGTTCTCACCCAGTTAATGAATTTTGTGGGAAAGCATAAATACTCTGACAATTGATCCAAATACACCCATTCAACAGAATCATATGCTTTCATCATGTCAACCTTCACCATGCATCTAGGAGAGATATGTTTCCTGCTGTAAGCTTTAACTAACTCATGAGCAAGGATGATATTATCTGCTATTTTCCTCCCTGGGATAAATCCTGCTTGGGCTTCAGATATGATGCATGGCATGATCTTCTGTAGTCTACTAGCAATGACTTTAGAAATAAGTTTGTATAACACAGTACAACAAGCAATAGGTCTAAAGTCCTTAATTGTCACTGGATTGGGAATTTTAGGTAGCAAAGTGATGGTGGTGCAGTTAATTACTGGAAACATCACCCCTGTATGAAAAAAATTCTTTCACAGCTGCATACACTTCTTCTTTGATCACTGGCCATGCTTTCTTGAAGAATTCTGTATTATACCCATCTATACCAGGAGCTTTATCACTTCCTATCCCCTTCAGAGCCTCATCTATCTCTTGTTTAGTAATTTCAGCATTCAAATCTTGTTGTTGTTGCTGTGTTAGAGTTGGACCTTTCCTCATTACCATCATGTCCACAGCTGGAAGTATATGTGCATTGGTTCCCATTAAGCCTTTATAGAAGGATACAATCTCCTCCTTTATAGCTGCATGTTCTGTTATAGTACTCCCTGATAATGTCTATGGTTCAGTAATCTGTTTTCTCTGCTGCCTCTCTTTTATCACTGCAGAAAAAAACTTATTATTAGAATCACCCAATTTGATCCAGTTTGCTCTAGCCTTTTGTTGCAGTATCTTCTCTTCCTCCATTGACCATGTTTCCAACTTTTGCAACCATTCCTTCTCTTGTACTTGCAACAGGTCACTACATCTATTTTGCATCTGGCTTTGTATGTGATAAATAGTTTGTCTTGCTTGATCTATCTTCTCAGCTACTCCTTTGAAATCAGTTTCATTCAGTTGCCTAAACAACCTTTTCATCCTTTTAAGCTTGAGCCAAATATTTTCCATCTTCTCTGATACTTTGTTCCTGCTCCATTCTTCTCTTATTATTATTTCAAACTCAGGATGACTTGCCCATACATTAAAGAATCTGAATAGGCTCTTGGTAAGAATCCTAGGTTGCCTTATACTGATGGACATGGGATTGTGATCTGAAATATAAGGTTCCCCATAATCAGTACTCAGGTGACTATAATTCATCATCCAAATATCATTTCCAAACATCCTATCTATACGACTCCACACCCTATCAACACCCTGCTGCTTGTTAGTCCATGTAAAATAATCCCCTCTCCATGGTAATTCTACAATACCAATATCTTGGCATAGCCCAGCAAGGTCTTTTTATCAGCATTTGTCATAGGCACTTTAGAAATTCTATCTTGGATAGTGAGTAAAGCATTGAAGTTCTTTAGTAATCTACTAATCTTTTTATGTGCTCCCATAAAGTTCTTCTTTGTTCTGCAGTGTTATGTCCATACACCACTGTGAGATAACAATACATCCCATTGTGCTTCCCAATTACTAGACAGTGACTGAACTGATATTGTTTGTCTAATGGTTGTACTGCATATATTTGCTCATCCCATATGATCCATACCCTTTCATTCACAGCATACTCATAGTTTGTCATCTTATTCCAACCAGGGACTATTCTACTAATCACCTTCCTTGCATTGCCTTCTTTCACCTTTGTTTCAACTAACCCGGCCAACTTGATATGTTTATCCTTTATGTACTGCTTTATTTCTTTTTGTTTATACCTCTTATTCAATCCCCTAATATTCCAAACTAGCCAAGTCATTGGTGAATAATGTTCCACCTCCCCAATCAGGTGGTATATTTTTTTTCATTCTCTCCTCTTCTTGCTGTAATATCTGAAAGCCATTTTTTGTAGCTATTGTTGTAGTTCCCAGTGACAATATGCTATTACTAGCCAGAAGTGGCCACTCTTCTCTTTAGTCAGTACTCTGCCCTTCTTTTGCTTTCCCTTTATCCCTTATTACCCCCGTATTTCCAGAGCTTTCATTAACTGTAACCACATTATTGTTATCCTGCTGCATAACCTTGGGCTTAACTTGCCCTTCTTCCCGAATCTCATAATACCCTTCATCGGCGAGACTTTCAAGAGAACCTTCTCGCCGACCATGAATGATACATCACACACCTTCTGATCCGCGTAACTCTTCTGTCTGGACTGTGCTGTGCGAAGTCTCTCCTGAATCATCTTACGTTTCCTA